ATCTTAGAGGTCTCCTCCAACCTTGATGATTCTATGAAAAATAAATGGCTAAAATGTGGAATGAACCAACAGCTCTTTGCTCTGATGGTGGAGCTAGATCACAATGTTGTGCCTGGCAAAATAACCTGTCCAAAAGTGGGTCAGACACTTGTATCAACCGAAATATCAGGTAGTCATTCAGTTGGGTCCATCAGGAAAACACAGCTCAGAGCTCTGGGACAGGAGTATGGAAATAATGAGAATCACTGAAGAAGAAACTGAAAAGTCCTTAATGCATTTTGGTGGCTTTATTTTCACCTCCAGGTAGGAATAGAGCAGAAAGAAGAGAGTTAAAAGTGATTTGCACCTATTCTGTTTAGCCCATACAGTTTGCCCTGTCCTCTGCCAGGGGAGGTGGCAGCTTGGCAAACCTGGAGCCACAGGAGACTCAGGGTGAAGTGCACTCTAAAGCAGGAGGGCAATGCTTTTCAGAGCCATGAGGAACCAAAACTAATGGCCTGTAGGGAACCATGCATTTATTTTGCAGTCCTGACACCTTTTTTATATACAGAACATAACACTTTTTTTTTTTTTTAGGAATAAATAATATCTGTTTTCAGTTTTAGAGAGAGCTTCAGCAGTTTAAGACATTCTGAACAGATGATGTGCCCACAGATTTTTCTTATGAGCTCCAGCCACTGAAACACTCTCTGTCATCTCAGTGACTAACTCTGCATGCACAGGAACAAACATCATCAATGGCGTGAGCAACACTATCCACAAAAGCACTAGATCTTTGACTCCTGACCTTAAACCAGCCCTAAACTCCAGGGAAATGTCCTCTCACTGGCAGCAAAATGACCTGGTGACAGCTCCTGGACCACAGGAGATCCTGTCCCTCCCCACAGCTTGCTCTGCCTGGAAGTCACATTCTGAACCATGACCTGAAGGGTGAAATGTCAGGGACATCCTGCTGGGCCAAGCACTTCCCACCTAGTCTGGATTTTGCCCTTTTCCTTCCCTCAGGAAGCTGCAGGGCCTGTCTGGGACAGTGCAAAGCCAGCTACTTGTAAAGCCAGGTTTAAAGACTTGCTGAGGCATTGCAGTTCCAGCCCTGGAACTAAAAGTGCATAACCTAAGTTCCAGGTGCATGGAGTCATTTGCAAGGCATGGAATCATCATCACAATAAGTTACACTGCTAGGACATGTACTCAAGGAATGCACAGTGTTATTTGAGAAATCTGCTGCAGGAAGGGAGCAGAAAATATAATTGCAATGGGAAAAGTTATGGCAAGGCACTGGCTGAGTAGGGATCAAGCTGTACATTAAATATGACCACACTGTTTCTGTCACATATGGTATTTTTGTCAAGTTGAAGCACTTTGGCAGGAAAGTCAATTACTCTTGATCTTGGGATTTTCTAGGAAGGTCCCCAATTAGGTTTTTATACCAATGAACTCATTTTCACTGATAAATCAAGTTAGAAAACCTGAAAGGCTCAATTTCTGGATCTGCAAATTAAAAGGGATTAACATTTTAACCATTTAACCCTTACTCCATCTAACAGAAGGAGTGATTGTTTAGCAGCTCTACAGGTCTGGTCATTTATTTAGGCACCCACATATGAAATTAGGAATTTAACATTAGGCATTTGAAAACCTGTCATTTCTAGGTTAATGTCTTGATCTTAAAAAGTAAACAAAAAAGCTTCTAAAAATGATATACCCCAATATGACAACTCGAGATGTGCAAGATGAGTTTGTTCAGGAATTCAAATTCTTAGGACCCTGGAGCTAACCTGGGTCAAAATCCTAGAAATTCTGTTACTATAAGAAATTTCTGGCAAGACTCAGACAAAACTAATAGCTATGCAGTGTCTTTAAGTGACCTGATCCTGTAATCATCAACTGTCTGGACACAACCCTGAGCCATGTGCTCTAGGATGGTCCTGTTTAAGTAGGAAGGTTGGACCAGATGATCCATTGTGGTCCCTTCCACCCTCACTGATTCTGTGTTCATATGTATTTCTATAGGCTGTTCTCTTCAGACTGAAAAAAAGCAATCCCAAAAAGTAACAAAACCACCCAAAGGACTTGAGGAACATGTGCTTCGACTTCTGCTTTATCCAAGCTGGATAAATGCAATGACTTTAGGTACAATATGAGCAAAGAAGCTATTTGCCCACTTGAATGTAGAAAAATCTGTGCAGATTTCTGCCTGAAATTTTCTTCTAAGTTTGCCTCAAAGGTTAATGTAGCCTTTTAGCAAAGCTTTGCTTGGCTCAGCCAAACAGATGTCAGACTGTTTACACAGAGCAAGCCCAGTAAACATTGCTGGAGCAGACTGCAGATGTGCAGAGATGTGTGCTGGAGCTTCAAATGCCACCACACATATCCCTTACTCCCTCTCAATGTGCACATCCTTGGCACATTGGGCAGACCTGCAGTACTGGACATCACTGTGCCTGGGTAACTTGGCCCAAAACAAGTGGAAAGGGCCAGGTCACTGCCAGAAGGAACCTTTTGGAACAAGAAAGTGTGGCAAAAAATAGTATAGCCTTAATTTAGGCTATGCTATATAGGTTAGCCTGCCCTAAGTTTACTCCAAAAGTTGGTTTGACGTGCAGTTTGTTCTGCAGTCAAGTAAGAAAGATAGTTTGGGCTTGGTTTCCTGACCTTCAGAGACCCATCTGTTTGCTTCATGCAAAGTTTGTAACTCTTTTTGAGAAGCTCAGGCACGTGGTGTAGTTGCAATATAGTATTTTAAGAAATGATTGAGTTTTCTCAAGACTTGATGTAACTTCCCATTCAGAAAAGGAAGAAAAATATATGCAGTTAAGAAAAACAAACAACCCCCCAAAAAAATCCCAAACCAAACCAACAAAAAATCAAAAACGAGTTAACTATCTGCTTAAATTTACCTTAAAATGAGTCTTAAACACATGGTTAGAATTAAACAAGTGCTTTACTTGTTTCCCTGATCAAATATGTGAGTGCATTTCCAAACTGCAGCCTTAGGGGAGAGCAGAGTCTGCTGTACAGTTAAAGGCAAATCCATTACAGCACCATGAATGCCTTTAGGTCTCTAAATGCTGATACACTTCTGGCTGGGTGTGCACTTCAGCCACCTGTGGCTGAAAATATGCTAGGCCATCTGATCAGAAGGCATTTCTTTTCCATGCATGGCCTGTAGTGGAGGTTAGAGGTTCTATTTCAAACCAGTAATTTCTTTCTTTTGGTGTTATGTACCTCTATCTATAAATTCATAGAATCATAGAGTTTTAAGGGTTGGAATGGAGCTTAGAGATGATGCAGCCCCAAGCCCTGCCCTGGGCAGGGACACCTCCCACCAGAGCAGGTTGCTCAAGGCTCATCCAACCTGGCTGTGAACACTGCCAGGGTT